CCTATGCCTCTCACTAAGTGGCCCCGGGTCTGGCACTAGCAGCAGCCTGATTTGCAGCTTGGCCTCATCTGGGCACTTCCAAGCTCAACACAAGTAGCAGCCATCTGCAGATCACTTTGTAGCTCATGCTGGGTGGCCTTGGACAGAACACATGTGGTGGCTGACCTTGGCCTTCACCTCCCAGCAGGCCCTAGAGCCAGTGTACCCAGTGCACAGCTTCAGACCATGTCAAAGCACCACTATCCAAACACCACCACAAGTGACACACTCAATGAGTGGACTCAGTGGGCGCCAGAGCCCCACTGAAGTTGGTCCTGCTCTGTGGGGTGAGCCCCTATACAGCTGATCCTCTGCAGTGGTGGTCGATGGTCATAGCCAGTTTAGGGCTGATTGGCTTGGGGCCAAATCCCTTGATCGCCAACAGCAATCAAGGCTCAACTACAACAGGTGGGTGTACACAGTCCACATGGAGGCGCACTGTGAGTGCTCAGCTTAGGTGATTAGGGAGGCTATGCCACTGGACCCTGCAGAACACCTACTACATTAGGTCATAAAGATGCTCAATTAAGTTATTGAGAACCTCAACAGCATAAAAAAATCAGTCAGGAATGAAGGGTACACTAAGTTCAATGAAGAATAGTTTACAGGGAATGAACAGTAGAGTAGATGAAGCTAAGACTCAAATCAGCAATATGACATATAAGAAAGCAAAAATACCCAATCAAAACAGCAAGAAGAAAAAAGGAATCCCCCTTAAAAAATGAGGATATTGTAAGGATCCTCTGGGACAACTTCAGATGCACCATCATTTGCACAATGGGGGTACTGGAAAGAGAGAAGAATGAGCAAGAAATTGGAAACCTATTTGAAAAAATAATGACAGAAAACTTCTGTAACTTGGCAAGGTCCAGGAAGCACAGAGTCCCAAACAAGATGAACCCAAAGAGGCTCACACCAAGACACATCATGATTAAAATGCAAGAGACTAAATACAAAGAGAGAATCTTAAAAGAAGCAACAGAAAAGCAGTTAGTTATCTACAAGGGAGTTCCCATAAGACCACCAGCTGATTTCTCATCAGAAGCTTTGCAGACCTGAAGAGACTGGCAAGAAATATTCAAAGTGATGAAGAACAGAGGACATACAACCAAAACTACTGTACCCAGCAAAACTGTCATTTAGAATCGAAGAAAAGATAAAGAGCTTTCCAGACAAGAAAAAATGTTAAAGGAATTCATTGCCACAAAACCAGTATTACATGAACTATTACAGGGTCTTCTTTAAGAAGAAAAAAATAAAAAATATGAACACTAAAATAGCAATAAATATATATCAAAAATTGAATCTAAAAAATAAATGAATAAGCAGAACAGAAATTGACTCATAGATACAGAGAACATTTGGATGGTTGCCAGAGGGGAAGGAGGCTGGGGGCTGGGTGAAAAAGATGGAGGGATTAAGAAGTGCAGACTACCTGGCCGGCGTAGCTCAGTGGATTGAGTGAGGGCTGTGAACCAAAGTGTTGCAGGTTCGATTTCCAGTCAGGGCACATGCCTGGGTTGCAGGCCACGGCCCCCAGCAACCGCATATTGATGTTTCTCTCTCTTTCTCTTTCTCCCTCCCTTCCCTCTCTAAAAATAAATTAAAAAAAATAAAATCTAAAAAAAAAAAGAAGTGCAGACTGGTTATTAGAGGACAGTCATGGGGGTGGGAAATACAGCATAGGAAATACAGTCAGTAACTGTGTGTGGGGTCAGACGGGTACCAGGTTTATCAGGATAGTCACTTAGTAAGTTATGTAATGTCTAATCACTGGGTGTACCCCTGAAACTAATATAATAATGTATATCAACTGTAATTTAAAAAATTTTTAAATGAAAATAATGCAAAAAAGAATAATTGCCCAAAATTCAAAGTACAAAAGAAGTTTTTATAGGTGTGGTTTACTTACTTTTTTATAATGCCTGATCTTATTAAGAACAAAATGTTCTTTAAAATTTCCCAATCACTTTTTATTTTTCAATTACAGTTGCAGGAGTGTCCTTTTAAAAAAACATGTGACCATCATTGTAGGTTGTTTCCTTCTATTTTTTTTAATATAGTTTATTGATTATGCTATTACAGTTGTCCCATTTTCCCCCTTCACTCCCCTCCACCCTGCACACCCTCTCCCACCCACATTTCCCCCCTTTAGTTCATGTCCATGGGTCATATTTGTGAGTTCTTGGCTTCTACATTTCCCATACTATTTTTACCCTCCCTCTTTCTATTTTCTACCTACCGTCTATGCTACTTATTCTCTGTACCTTTTCTCCCTCTCTTCCCCTCCCACTCCCCTTTTGATAACCCTCCATGTGATCTCCATTTCTGTGGTTCTGTTCCTGTTCTAGTTGTTTGCTTAGTTTGCTTTTGTTTTTGTTTTAGGTGTGGTTGTTAATAATTGTGAGTTTGCTGTCATTTTATTATACATGTTTTTTATCTTCTTTTTCTTAGATAAATCCCTTTAACGTTTCATATAATAAGGGCTTGGTGGTAGTGAACTCTTTTAACTTGACCTTATCTGGGAAGCACTTTATCTGCCCTTCCATTCTAAATGAAAGCTTTGCTGGATAGACCAATCTTGGATGTAGGTCCTTGCCTTTCATGACTTAGAATACTTCTTTTTAGCTCCTTCTTGCCTGTAAGGTCTCTTTTGAGAAATCAGCTGACAGTCTGATGGGAACTCCTTTGTAGGTGACTGTCTCCTTATCTCCTGCTGCTTCTAGGATTCTCTCCTCCATTTTAATCTTGGCTAATGTAATTATGATGTGCCTTGGTGTGTTCCTCCTTGGGTCCAACTTCTTTGGGACTCTCTGAGCTTCCTGGACTTCCTGGAAATCTATTTCTTTTGCCAGAATGGGGAAATTCTCTTTTATTATTTGTTCAAATATCTTTTCCACTTGTTGCTCTTCCTCTTCCCCTTCTGGTACCCCTATAATTCAGATGTTGGATTGTTTAAAGATGTCCTGGAGGTTCCTAAGCCTCTCCTCATTTTTTTTGAATTCTTGTTTCTTCCTTCTTTTCTGTTTGGTTGTTTCTTTCTTCCTTCTGGTCCACTCCATTGGTTTGAGTCCCAGTTTCTTTCCCTTATACCTGATCCCCTTTTCTCTTTTCTCTCTGATAGAGAGGCTGCTAAAGTTCAAATGCTCACTCTCCCAGTATCTCTTACTGTTCTGTTCTGCGTGAAATACATAACACAGAACTGGCAATGGGATAAGGTTGGTCCTGGGTTCTGACTTAAATGTTAATATAGTGGCCTGAGCTGCAGAATTAATTTCAGCTATTCAAAGATAGCAAGCCAATGTGTCTATGATCCTCTCAGCCTTTCTCTCATGCTTTTTACCTCATGGTCACAGAATAGCTGCTGCTGCTCAGTAAATTCAAGCATCTCTTAGTATCACCAATTATCCAGTGAGTTTCATGTTTTCTTGATCACTTTTTTTCCACAACTGGTTTGTTCGAAGCAGAATCATATCCCATTTGGTTATTTTTAACAATAGTATGTGCCTTAAGCTCCAAATTTATCTTTATGAGATAAAAATAAACCCTTATTTGTTTAAGTTGGGCTTATTGGAGTTTATATCCCTTGTAGCCAAACTGTAATACTATGTATAATTTCTAAAAAATAAAATTTATCTTCTCTCTCATCAGCAAATTAACACACTGCTTGTGGAAATCTTAATACAAAATAGTAGGAAAAAGGAAGAGAGAATCAGAATCCCATCACTGAAGCACCGGTAACGTTTTGACATATTTTCTTCTGGTGTTGTTTGAATAGTTGCATTAACACAGCAGTAACAAATCTGTGTCCTTTTTTTTGCTTGTCATTTTAAAGATGCATTTGGGGGTGATAAAAAATATTCTAACATTGATTTGGTGAGGATTGTACAGCTCTATGACCACACTAAAAACCATTGAATTGTGCACCTGAAGTGAACGGTGTGGCACGGAAATTACATCTCAGTGAAGCTCGTGTACAAACTTTAGATGAGCACTTCCTGTTACGATAAATCCACTGTTAACATGTTAATTATTGCATAATCGTCTATCCATAGGCTTTACTTCAATTCAGTAAACTACTCTTCTATTGTTCGATAATTGGGCTGGTTCCATATTTTGACTCTGCTACAAATTCTTTGCACTTAAACATTCTCTTTATCTAGAAGTAGTTCCTCCCAGAGATAAAAAGACTGTGCCAAAGCGCACATCACTTAAGCACGTATTGAGCTTGTACTGGCGGCTCTCTGCCAGTCCGGTGTGGGCCGCACTGACTGTGTATGCATTATTTCTTCAAACCTTCATCAGCCTAAGAGGACTGTCTAGTCTGTCTCTGTTTTCAGAACTTGAAACCGAAGCTCGGAAAACAACTAACTCATCCAAGGTCAAGGAGCCCACCTGCAGAGGAGCCAGGCGCCTGCGCAGCTCTAATCCCAGCGGCTGTGGGGACTTCCCTCAACGGGACCCGACTGTGTCAGACCTTGGTAGTTTCAATGGGGAAAAGGCTATCATTTTCTAAATTGTTTTTGGATGATTTTGGATCTTTTCTTTTGTTTGCCAAGTCAGACATACTTATTTTGTTGTTAATTACGTGTTGCGGCCTTTCCCATAGATGACTATACAATTTGAAGAATGAATAACATGTGATTGCTGCCTTGTTACCATCACTAAAAAGGAGGAAGCTGGCACAGTTTCCTTTTCCGAAGCTCGCTCCCATGCAGAAGCACCTTTAATGGTCGGCATGCCTCACAGAATTCCCTGTAACCCAGCTCTTTGACACGAGCGCCCGGCTCTCCCCGTGGTGGTCCCTTGCACCTGGCTGAGCCTGGGTCCGCGAGAGCCACGGGTGCACCGGAGACTGCTCGGCGGTGGGGCTGGCCCTCCCCCTCCAGCGCAGTCCTGTTCTTCTCGTTCTTCTCAAAGCAGGAGGGCTCGGAGCAATCATTGCTCTGCTCCCAAAGCGCTTAACCCAAGAGGGGCTTCTTTTCCACAGTTATGTAGACAAATACCACAATGACGAAGATGACAAACGCGGCCAGCTTCACGCCCACTGGAAACCTTTCTACGTCCCTGCCGTCAACACTACAGTTTATTGCGCGGCAGTCTTTCTCTTCAGCGTCACTCCGTCCTTTGAGTCTGGAGTATGGGGCTCTGGAGGCCCCCCTGTGAAAACATGAGTGTGTGGACCTAAGCACCCCCTGAAACTGTGTGGCCTCTGGGCTCAAGGGAGCGGCCCTCCCCGGGCTCTATCACAGGAAACCCAGGCTAATTTTAACAATGATGTTGACAGGGTATCATGAGGATGTGAGGTCTCCAACAGTCCCACCAAGCATTTCTTTATCACCATCACCATCACATGTGAAAGACACATGTGTAGTGTCTTTCAGTGGCGGCCCAAGGCCTGACTCAGGGACTTACACACCCCGGTCTCTCCTGGGGTCTGAGAGAACCGGCTGGGGGACACCAGCACACAGGCCCTGTCCTTCCTTTCCTCACAGGTCTACACACAGACCTGCAGGGTGAAGACGGGAGGTGCTTTCAAAAAGTGCTTATCTTGTATTTAAAAGAGAAAGAGGATACTCTCTGAAATCTTTTAGAGAGAGTCTCATTTTCCCACTAGTTTAATCCTGGAAATGGGCTGAAGTTTATGCAGAAGTTAGGGAACTTTCCAGAAAGCTTTACTTTCTGACTAATAAAATGGCCAGTCTTGAGCTCTTATTTCAACGACCTACTCTGTTTTCCCCCTTCTTTCCCCATTTTCCAAGACACAAAGAATACATGTCTACAAATCAAGAAACTTGGGTTCTGGTCTCAGTTCATTGTGACTTTTGGATTCCCCTCGACCTCTCCAGCCTCTAAACCTATGTGGTCAACTAGAGATTTTTGTAAGGCCCCTTTACTTTTAAAATGAGATATTGCCCTGACTGGTGTGGCTCAGTGGGGCGGGCATCCTCCTGCAAACCAAGGGGTCGCTGGTTTGATTCCCGGTCAGGGCACATGCCTGGGTTGTGGGCAGCATCCCCAGCTGAGGGCACGCGGGAGGCAACCAATATATGTTTCTCTCCTTCTCTCTCCTTCTCTTTTCTTCTCTCTAAAAAATAAATACATAAATTCTTTAAAAAATTAAAGTAAAATGAGATATTATGAATCTTTTCAACAGATTGTTTTTTAGACTCAAACCTTTCACAAAAATCTGAATAACAATTCTTTTAGAAGTTACATAAGTCCATCTGTTCTCCTCAGATGCTAAGAAAAGTATTACCTGACTTTCTCAGAACACTTAGGACTCAGACCGTCAGTATCTTGGGCTTTTGCTTTAGCGGTGGAAGCCTTGGATCTCTAATGAACAAACAAAATATCAAGAAGAATTTATTTACCAAGAAAACAATACTATCAAATTATCAAAAAGAGGTCTCACAGTACAGTTTCTAATGTCTTGTACAAAGGACCTTATTTTTTGTTCTAGAAAAAAATTGTATGATCTGAGGACTAAGAAAGTTTTTGGCACCTCAAATGGTTTAGTACTTGATAATATGAACTTCGAGTTTGCCTTTAGTCAGTATGAGCAAAAACCTCCCATTCTCCCGTTTCCGTGGAGTAACATTTTACTTGGGTGACTCACACGTGAACAAAAGACACACCAGTGACAGGGGCCACGTGACAGGAGCAGCATTTTGTTTTTAAATATCATCTTTCTATTTTGCTGTCTTATTTGTACTTTTATTACTTGGAACTTTTTTTGTGAGCATGCGTCATTTTTATACAAAGACTGAAGTTATTTTAAAAACCAAGTTGGCTATGAACAAGGACTAGAAAATAATTTAGGAGAATGAAAATGTTCTGTACGAGGAACAGAACCAGGGACTGTCAGTCATCTTTTCTTTTTCCCAAAATGTATCTGTTGTTTTTTTCCAGTAAAGTACAAACACATAGCTCCCTTTGCCTTTGTTTCCTCTCTATGAAACAAAGTCATAAAGATTAAATGGCTTAATCTATGCAAAATTATTAAAACACTTGCTGATATATAGTAAACACTTAATGAAAGCACTTAGTAATAATGATTGTGATAATAATAATTACTATTAATTTCATGTTGCCATTTTTCCTCACTTGTCTGATTTTCCTTTATCGTCTATTCATACTTAATATTCAGGCCCTCACACCCTCACGTGTCTGCAGTGGCCAGGGATGTGCAGATGCGGTGTCAGATGGTGCTGTGACCACCATTTACTGAGAGCCTGGCCCATTAACCCATTCACTCCCCGAGGCCTTCTAGACCCCCCTAGCCTCCTCTGGGAGGCACTGTCACCGCTCCGGTTTGGATATGCTGAGTCTGGGGGCACAGAAAGCGTCAGTAGCCAGCCTAAGGTCACACAGCATTGTCAGTGGAGCTCTGTCCTGGAGCCACCACACCAGACTCCTCCCCACTCTTCGGTCTCTAAATATCACTTCCCTCCTGCAAGAAGACTTCTGCATTCCTCTCATCCACTCAGGTCAGTTGTCTGGTCTACAATTCTTCAGCCCTAACCAAAACGTTCTTTACTTTATTTCTCTTTAATCAAGCCACAATATCAACCACGTAGGGTTGGTAAGTTGGTGCCTATAGCCCTCCCCAGAGACCCAGAACCCCTGAGCACGAGAGGAGCCTATGACACCGACCATGCTGCCAGAGGCCTCACAATTCTGGAGACTACAGACCGGGGAATTGGGAACTGGGGACTTGCACAAGACGGGACTGACTGACACCAGGACAGAACAGAACCAGGGGGACAGTCAGAAGGAGCTGTTCTGAAGCAATGCTGAGATAGACAGACTAGGGCATGATGGGAGGTGGGACGGGGACACTTGGACACTCGTGTGAGTCACAGAGTTACCGGGAGAAAGGACAGCCTTGGCCTCAGCCAGTGTGTTGTCAAGACACTCCCACAGAGCACAGAGCCCTAGTGAGTCTGGAACATCACCCCCAGGGCGCGTTGTGTTGCCAGGTCCAACAGTCTTAGCCTAAGGTGGGTGGGGGGACACAGCCCGCTGTGCTATCGTTTACTGTTGGTCACCGCTTCCCAGTAAAGCCACCAGACAATGAAGCAGCTGTGGTCTCCACCGCTACCCCTCTACTCCCTGCTCCACCCTCTTAAAGAAGATGTTCTCAGTAGTGGTACCTCTGGAGATGGTGTGAAGCTGTGCAAAACCCACAACAAAGCAAAGGCTCTTGAGGAAGAGGGACTTTAAAAGCTCTCACCAAGGTGCCACGGGGGCTAGTGGTGGTCTGCTCACCAAGAGACACGTCAGACTATTTCCAAAGGTGTTGGAAAAATTTTTATAAGCACATTTTTTCTTTTCTTTTTTTAACTACAAAAAATTCAAACATACAAAAGTAGACAATAGTGTAATGAACCTCCACATACCCATCACATGCAACTTCTTTTTAATTCTCTTAAAATTAAAATAGATATGCTCACCCTGGCTGGTGTGGCTCAGTGGATTGAGCACTGGCCTGACAACCAAAAGGTCACAGGTTCGATTCCCAGTTAGGGCACATGCTTGGGCTGTGGCCCAGGTTACCCAGTTGGGGGCACTTGAGAGGTAACCACACATAGATGTTTCTCTCCCTCTCTTTCTCCCTCCCTTTCTCTCTCTCTAAAAAATAAATAAAATCTTAAAATAGATACGTTAAATAAAGCATTTGGGGTAGAAGCCTATTGCAAAATCAAATAATAGGATTTCACAGCTCTTAGACAATCCAATACACCCTCCTCTCTCTCTTCTTCTGTCATAGGGAGGTTTAGATTTTCCATTTTCTTTTCTTTTATAATTTACTTCCTTTACTATCACTCAAATGCAGAGTTCTACAATATGTAAAAGGTGAGCAATTTAATTGTCAAAAAAAGAGTAATTCTGGCCTATCAACTTGACTGTGCAGACATCAATAAATATGATAATTATAAGACTATGTGACAGGGACAGGGACATTGGGGAATGATAAACTCAGGGGGTATAGGGCTGTGTGCACGCAGCGGTGGCAGCAGTGGGAATCTACACAGTATATGCACATAAACAAAAACTGGAGGGAAGTAAAAAATAAAATCAGCTCTTGTGTCAGGTGGCATGTTTGGAGGTGATTTATTTTTTTCATTTTTAGAACATTCCTTTAACGCTGTGATAATATTGTTTTCACTATCAACACCACTTGCAATGGAACGTGAGAACGTTAGTGCTTGGTAAAGCTGTGACTTCAGGATGGTAGGTGGGGCCGAGGGGAAGTGTAATTGTATCTTTCCTCCTTTCTCCCTGCGCCCAGAGCTGGACTCTGCAAAGACGGCGGTTGGGGCAAAGCATTCACAGCCGAGAGTGGGTAATGTATGGCCTCCTCTGCTTCTCCACACACCTCGCTGCATTCAAGTCAGAAAAGCACACCCATCCACACAGTATTGATTAGAGCTGCAGTTATTAATGTAATAATTCTGAGATATGCCAATATAGTAAGCAATGGGGCTCGTTACAATACTAGCTCACATGTATATATGGATTTCCCGTGTATCAGGCACTGTTTTAAGCCTTTTACATGAGTAAAGCCATTTAAGCCTCAATACCACCCTGTAAGGAGCTTTTATTATGTCCATTTTATGAGAAATATGGCCCATTTATAGATGAGAAAACTGAGACATGGAGAGTTTAAGTAGCTTGCCCATGATCACACAGTTTTTAAGATAGTGGAGCCAGGAGTCAACCCAGGCTGTGAAGCCTCAGAGTCTCTGCTCGTAATCACCACGCTGTACCGCGGAATGATAGCGCTGCTTTACAAGAAAGGAACTAGCAATACCACGGTGTGAATGTCTATTATCTTGGGCATTCAGCACACCTCAGTTCATTTAATATTTGTGACAACGCTAAGAGCTGACCATTACAGTCACCATTTTACAAATGAGGAAACCGAGGCTCACAGAGCTAAAGTATTTGCTCCAGATACATAATCAGTGAAAGGCATAGCTATAATTTTCTAAGTTGATTTTAGAGAGAGAGATGAAAGGAGAGCGAGATAGAAAAAAAAAGTGTCAATTTGTTGATCCACTTATTTATGCACTCACTGGCTGATTCTTGTATGTGCCCTGACCAGGGATCAAACCTGAAACTTTGGCACATCAAGGTGATGCTCTAACCAACTA